GCAACAATTATTAAAGACCAAATTAATGTTTTATTTTTTTCATTGAGCACCACATGAAACATTGCAAAGCGCCCTTGGAAAAGTTTCATTGAGAATCACCACAAAGAAAAGAAACATTGCAAAGCGCCATTACGGATGTAATCACACACAAAGTAAGTACTATCTACATTTATATATATATATAATTCAATTAACACCATGCATGGTTTCAATTCCCTGTATCTTTTTCTCGTAAAAGTGGGTTCTGAGGCAAGAACAGGAGAACAACTACTGCGGATACTATGTTTGCGAGTTTATCGGGGCGTACACAAAAAGAACTTCTAAAGAGATCCTCAAAGCATGTTATATAAATATATTCATATATTCACAATTTCTTTTGTTGCTCATATATATAAGTAATCAAGTGACCAACACACACACACATATATATATATATATATATTAATACTTTTCCTTTAACTTTTATTGAAGACTCTATGGTTGAAGAAAAAAGTCATACGACGTGACCAACTAAAAGCAATTCAAGAGACCATAGCAGGATTTTTTAATGACCAGTCCTCAACCCCTTACCGAGACGAGTCCTACAATGACATCAACGAAACATGGAAGCCAAACTAGATGGAGTGATTTTGTTATCCCAAGGATATGATATAATATACAATGCAACCTTTATTTGATATATATATATATATATATATATATATATATATATATATACACACACACACAAACACACATACATATTATATGTATATAAAATAACGTACAATATATGTATATGCATGTAATATATACGTTAGTTTCATACTTTAGTTTGTACAAAATGTTCAAACATTATAAACGTGTAGAATACGTATATTATTAGCAGCGTAGAATGCGTATTCGAAAACCAAAACGAATCATCAATTGAAAATAGAAACAAAAAAAAAAGGAAACCTTTAGTCCCGATTGCCAACCGGGACTAAAGGGCCACCCCACGTGGCCAGGCCAGGAGGCCCTTTAGTCCCGGTTGGTCTTACCAACCAGGACTAAAGGTGCACCTTTAGTTCTGGGCGCGAAACCAGAACTAAAGGAGGGGACCTTTAGTTCCGATTTCGTACTCCCGGTTCCAAAACCAGGACTGAAGACGGTTGAGAACCGGAAGTACAGCCCATTTCTCCACTAGTGCCATCTGCCTGTGCCACTGCCTACACGGCGGAATGAGGTGTTCTAGTTCTGCCGTTCTGGTGTCTGACCTCAGAGAAAGCTTTGAATAGGATCTAGCTCTTGTTGCTTAAAGGGCTGCTAGTACCGGTAGATGCATTCACTGGATAACCAGGAATGAAACTCTGCCTGTTGGTTTGCTCGTAAACGATCGTAAATTTTCAGTCGGGAACCGTGTTTTTCTCTCACATTAAACCAGCCAGCAGTAAATAATCCACGATACGATACGACCTCCCAAACAGGCTGTTCTAGAGCATGTTGATTTATGCCTCTGGTATTGATCTTTTTAACGAGCGAGGCAGTAGGATTTGAATAGGGATAGATAATAAACAAGTGCCTCGACCTGATTCATATTTTCGTACCACTGTATTTCACATCAGTTGTGAACAACAATAGCAGTGGTCTGCTATTTCGCAACTTTAGGGTATGCTATTGATGTTTACAACTTCAGGGCATCACTTATGGTTCTTGCCCTTGAGCTTGTCTTCCTGGTAATCCTGATGACCTGATCACTTCTTCCAGGCTTGGTTCTTGGCCCACCGTCAGCATCCCTTTTCACATTCATTCAGATTCCGGCCTGAAGAAGCTTTGTTTAAGCAGATCCCAAAACCCAGCCAACCCTCCCCGTAGGCCGTAGCAATGGCCAACCTCCTCACCACTTTTATCTTCCCCAAGAGAACTCTTGCTTGTTTGCTGGACACAAAATTAGTCAGCTTTATGGTGAAGGTAGAGCAAATTAGAAGGGAGTATTCTTACGCATATATGGTAAAAAATTTAGACAAAATCATTTTTTAAACATTTTTACACCCTACTTTCAATGTAGCTTCGCCCCTGAACCCAGCAATCTTTAGCAGAAAAACCTCCAAACTTTTCTACAGTGCTTTCTAAAAACAGAATTCATTTCCTAGCTTCCAAAGCCCCATAGATGATAAAGCAGCAGTACTAAGAATATTGTGAATAACGTATTTCTTATTACTATAAGCCGGACCTTTCGTACTAGTAACTCACAACAGAACATTAAAAACATCACGGGTGATGCACTGACTCCTCAATACAGAAAAGACAACTTGCCTTCTTTTTGCTTATATTATCCCTAGTCAGGACTCAGGACGTTTTATGAAAGAAACCACAGAAAAAAAAACCCTAGGTGGTACCTTCAAAGACCAAACACTGCCTGCAGAGAGCCGTTTGTGTGCCTTCTGCAGGTGCAGCTTGAGTGAACTCGTACTTAGACCAACATTCTTGCTGCAGATTGGGCACACCTTCATTTCTGGACGCTTGTGCTGCCAGTCCATAGATACCTTACCATGCAGCCTCTTATCAAGGGCAAGGAGGAGAGCCTTGGTGAAGCCATCGTTTGGCTGTGCTCGACAGTGTCCTTTCTTCAGTAAGTTCCAGGCTTTTACGAGAGTGAAACCCCTGAAAAGTACATCTCTATCATGTCAATAGCAAAGCTCCAACAAAATTCTTGTGCAGCCATTATCATGCAATTCAGTCATGGCTGGCAAAAGTTAAGACTCTTACTCTCTAAGCATCAAATAGGCAAGTATGACTGTGTATATCTAAGTGCATAGCAAAAGCTACATATCTAGAAAAACTAAAACGTCTTGTAATTTGGAATCGAATGAGTATATTATGTTCCAAATTATAAGACGTTTTTGACATTTCTAGATGCATTGTTTTTACTATATATCTAGACATTGTGTATATCTAAGCGCATAGCAAAAGCTATGCATCTAGAAAAGCCAAAACGTCTTGTAATTTGGAATGGAGGGAGTAGCTCTTTGTTAAAGATCACAAACACCATCGAGCAAGGGACCGCACATGTTCATAAAGGGGGGGGGTCATATCTCACATGAGTGGGGTGACTCCCCCATAAAATCTGCTGAGAGGCAGCTTTCACCACTGGGTGCACAGACACTAGTGACCTAGTGACTGCACATGTTCATAATAGATCTAAAATACTAACTACTCTAGTTCAGTTCAATGCAAAACAATATAAATCAGAAAACTACCAACAAACTATTTCTCGATCCTTCACCAATCAAAATTAACACTACCTAGTTTCGATCAACTTATTTCTGTCCAAGTTTACAGCAACATGTGCTTGATCCAGGTGAACAAAGAAATAGGGCATTGAAAATTTCAAGGAAATAGTATCAGTAGATCTAATTTTTTTTATTATAATATTTTCCATGAGCATAATCTACCAAACAGCCACTTGCTCATTTTAGGTGGTCAAACCCAACCCTCATGTTCTACCATATCCTTACTTCTAGTGTGTGTGCAATGGTCCTTTATGAGCATCTACGACTCTCACATGATGCTCACCTAAATTCCATCACATTTATTGTTTGTCCATATATATACAGCAGGCTGCAACTCATGCGGACCACCAAGAATTAGGACATTGCAATAAGGATCAAAACTAAGAGAACAATACACATATTTTCCATCAGTTTGTTATCTGTGCACATTTAGATTGAATGCAATTCATGCAGAACACCAAGGATTAGGCATTAAAGTTTATGGATAAAAAAATATTAGAGGATCACACATCATTGTTATGCAGCATTGTCTATGCACACAAACAAGATCGCTAACAAACTAATTGGTATGGATGATGAAACACAACTAACATATTCTATTGTATCCATGCACCATGCTTCAACCGACCCTAAATGTGTGATGGTCCTTTATGAGCACCTACGACTCACATAGCGCTCACCTAAAATTCATCAACTTCATTGTTTGTCCATATTTACAGCAGGACGCAACTCATGCGGCCTACCAAGAATTAGGACATTGTAGAAATCATATAAAATATAATATTTTACCCATCACACTATGTTTCTGTAAATATATAACCATATCAGCAAGAAGGCTGCCAGCATGTTTGCAAGTTAAAGCTATAAATCAAGAACGAAGAAACATATCCTGCTAGGTTCTTACTAATCTCTCGCAAGTGAATGTGGTCCCATTATGAGCATTTACAAATCATTTAATAATCAACTAAATTCCATCAACCTTATTCTTTGTCCGTATTTACAGAAAGACCAACTCATGAAGCCTGCCAAGAATTAGGAGATTAAGTTAAGACTTAAGAGCACACAGAGGAACATATTTACTATTTGCAGGCTATAATTGTAGAACAGGTTGATTATTAATCCACAGTTCCAGACTCCAGTTCATTTTAGCACTTCCAGAAAGGACGCTTCTGAAGGAGACATATTTTTGAAATCATACAAACCAAACCTAATTTCTCAAATTATTACCAATCCATATTTACAGCAAGACACAACTCATACATATAGCCTACCAGAGTCTTTTAGATGAACTCTAGGTCAGCTAAAACAATTAGTCTATTTGTTTATGCACATTAGAAAAACAGATCAAGTTCACTTAATAAAATAACATTGTCATTGACCATACATGAATAACAAATGAAAGGTGTTGCTAATTGATAGTCATAGATCATGTGTTGGCGGTGCAATATGAGCCTACTAAATACCAGTAAACGGAATACTTACACACGACAGGGATGACTTGAAGGAGCTACATTTGCATTTCTGATTAGTCTCAGAGGCACGTGTTCTTGTAGTCTTCACTTCTCGCGTATCAGGTGTGACCTGGGAAGTTCTTGTAGACTTAGATTTTCTGTTTGCCTTATTAATATCCTTCTTCGACATCTTACTTACACACGACAGGGAGGACTTGAAGGAGCTACGCTTGCGCTTCTGATTAGTATCAGACGCACATGTTCTTGTAGTCTCCACTTCTCGCCTATCAGGTGTGACCTAGGGAGTTCTTGATATATCAGGTGTGACCTGGGAAGTTTTTGTAGACTTAGATTTTCTGTTTGCCTTATTAATATCCTTCTTCGACATCTTACTTACACACGACAGGGAGGACTTGAATGAGCTATGCTTGCGCTTCTGATTAGTCTCAGACGCACATGTTCTTGTAGTCTTCACTTCTCGCCTATCAGGTGTGACCTGGGAGGTTCTTGATATATCAAGTGTGACCTGGGAAGTTCTTGTAGACTTAGATTTTCTATTTCCCTTATTAATATCCTTCTTTGACATCTTACTAGTGTCTGATTGATCATCTTCATTTTTATCAGTTTCAAGATCTTTATCCTTGACCAAGGAGCGCATTTTTTGCAGCTCATCCTCAAGAATTGACATCCTCTCTTTGGCATTTGTCACCTCAACTTGTAGTCTAACGATTTCATCATCCTTCTTTTGGGCTGCCACTTGCAGCTCATCTACATTCTGCGGAAGCTTTTGTGCTTGCTTTACCTCTATCTTCTTGCTCTTAATGGTCCCGCTGTAATCTTCTTCCATTGTCTTAAGCTGGTTACACACACTTTTCCGCTTGTAATGCTGAAATTTCTTTGTCCTTCTCTGATCTCAGGATCATGTAAACTTTCTTTAGTTTCCTTATCTGTTCCCTAAAATCTTTCCCACTTTTCTGGTGATCTGAATTGTCGGTACAAATCTCCACCTGACTTTCAAACTTCTTCAGTTTTTCCTGGCATTATGAGAGAAGGTAAAAAATCGGTGAGATGGACAATATGAAATCCACAATGGTCCAGGCAAACTAAACTCATGTATTTGTAATTACCTTTAGCTCAGCATTTTCAGCAGCCAAATTCGAAATACAACTTTTGAAATCCTCCAAATCATCCTCAGCAAGTTCTGGTTTGAGCACACAATGGAAGGTTTGACTTTAACTTCCAAAATAATAAGTTGGAATCTCAAAATGCAACATGGAGATCCAGTGAACAACTGAATATACAAGGTGCCAAACATATACTTTGTCTTTTAAACAGCTGTAAACCATATGGAAAAAAAGGCAGACCCAATGCGGAGGCTCCCACATGAGGGGGGCTGGGAAGGAAAAACAAAGCAAGCCTTCCCCATAAAATCCAACTGGATTGACACAACTGTAAAGCCCAATTAGGTGGGAAAAATAACCCGACATTCAAGTTCTTGATAAAGAAACTAGTTTGTTGTACAAGTCTAGGCTGCTGTAAGATCCAAAAGTAAATAAAATAATGCACACACATGGCATAGTCAACAACAGTTGGAATCTCAAACTGCAACGTGTAGATGTAGCTACCATACAAGGTGTCAACTTCTAGTGTGGTGACTGTTTTACAACAATGTAATCTTATCTTTAAGAGACAACTCTAAGCTACACAATGCACAGCAGAAACAAATAGAGATGAAGCTTTTTCATTCTTATTCTTATAGTAGCAGCAAAAGTAGGCTCAGGAAGGGCAGTTGCCCACGACGAACCATAGAAAGCAGAATGAAATTTGGACAGATATGTATTATATACCTAAAGAGGACAAACTAACTTCAGTAATCGAGAGAGTGCAATCAAACACAGAAAGTAACGAACTGTAACTACAAAAGAGCCCATATCATAAAGAATGAATACGAAGTGGAACCCACGAAGCCAAGGTAATGGTTACTACGCCAGAATTACTCAAAAAAACAGGTTTCAGTAGCAGCCCAAGTATTTTAAAAGCGGACCAGTATCAAGATAACGATGAAACCTAAAGAGGAACAGTCGAAGCTGGGGCCAAGGAACTTGGTTCCTCTCCTTCCTTGCCTGCGAGCTTCTGGTAGCAGTGAATCTGAAGCTCCTTGCCGCCAAGACGCGCCGCCATCCCAGCCTCAACGACTCTCTTGCGGAGCTCCTCGTGCTTACAGATCTGGAAGTAGAGATGGCGCAAAGAAAAAAAGAAAACCTAGCGCGCGTTAGCGGCGGCGGCGAGCTGGCCTTCCCCGAATCCAATCGCAAAGAGGAACAACCCGCAGACGGGGACCCGAATCGTTCGTACCTGCTGGAGGCAGGCCTGGGATATCTCCTCGCGCTCGCGGAGGCCGCTCTGCAGGAACTGGAGCTCGGTGATGAGGTGCTCGCGCTCGACGGAGAGCTCCTCGGCCTGCGCGTACGCCTGGCGCAGCATCTTCACGAGGCGGTCGTACGCGCGGCGCCACGCGGGCAGGTAGACCTGGCCCGGAGCGGGCGCCGGCACCAGCGCGCCGCCGTCGTCTCTGGCCATGGAATCCGCTAGAATCGGAGAGCAGAGGGAGGCGGAGCCGCGGAAGGGACGGCCGCCGCTTGGGGTTCCTGTGGAGGTGCGGTTTGCGCCTCGAGGAGGAGAGCGGTGGCCGCGTGGAACGGACGGAGCGGAGGGGAGATGACCGTTGGATGCGGGGGCCGGGGTTTAGGGTTGGTTTGGTGGGCCCCGCCTGACATTCACGGAATTTGAACAGGAATGGGCCGGTTTTGCCAGAGAGGGAGTCATTGGCTTCTTGGATTTGGATGCCTGGATGAGTAGTCGGGCCTGGGCCGCTGGACGCAAAAGGAGTAGCTACGCCAGATTCGAGTTCTTGACAAAAACTAGCAGCTACTCCATTTTTTTTCCACACTGTTTTCTGAAAACAAAATTGTTGGGGGTACGACCTCGGATACCCACGATAGACTATATAGGCTGCGCCGTCAGGGGTGGTCCAGCCCACAAGACGAAGCCTTGCGGAGCACGACGCTGCTCGGCGCGCGCCGTAAGACATCGGGAAGATATCCTGAAGATACGGCGTAATCTGTTAGATATGTTACGATTCCGTGATTCCTGTAATCTGTTATTACTTACCGGTTATCTGCTAGATCTAACCGACTCGTAACCCTATCCCCGGCTATATAAGGCGGGTAGGGGACCCCTCAAAATGGATGCAATATCATACGATAGCCAATACAAACCAACAGACCATAGGAGTAGGGTATTACGTCGTGCTGATGGCCAAAACCTGTCTAACTCTTGTGTCTCTATTGTCTTCTTGTTTTTGATTACGTGCACCTCTGTCGATCAATCTACCTTCGTGGGAAACCCCTCGGAGGACTGTCGAGCATCTTTTGTCGACAGTTGGCGCGCCAGGTAGGGGTATGCGTGATGTTTCTATGACGAACAAGATGATACGTTTTGCAGCCTCTTCATCCTCTCCAAAGCCCGGCCAGAACTTTACGGTCGGATCGATCTCCTGGGTCATCAATGCTGATGGAGACGGAGAGATCATCGAGCCGGTGCAGATCGATTCTGCGCCGACCACACCAACACCTGCAACAGCAGATCTGATCTCGGAACCGCCTTCGAGGTCGTCTTCACCAACAACTCGTCGCCTGTTCCCCTGCTATCTGAGGAAGCAGATCGACAACGACGATTTGATTGCATCCATCGATCAGGTCGGCCAAAAGCTCGCTGACTGCCTCTTCCTCGTGGAATCGGCTCTGACCACTCTGGTTCAGCGCCGACCACCCTCTGATTCCGATCTATCGGAGGCTGATTAGAAAACTCCAGGGGTTACGGCCGCCATCCATCAAGATGCCCTAAGGGGCAAATTCGCCGACCAGGTGGGAGACATCTATCCTCTCGCTGACCCGATCGCCGACTAGCTCTCACCGACTATCAATATGCTGTAAATTGGCCAACGTCCCGAAGCATCCCTCCACACCATCCTGGAGGAAAATCTAGACTCTGAGTCCCAGGGCTCTACGGAGACTGTCGTCGAAACCGTCGTCGTCCAACCTCCTTTCCCACCCTTCTGTGGAGGTGGGATTTTTAATGTCAGCATCGACAGCCCTCCGTGGGATGAGAAAACTGATGAGGATCGCGCAGCTCGTGTTAACAGAAACGCCAATCGTGTGCAGTGCCGAGTGAATGAGGCCGCCATTATGCTAGCTGAGGCTACTCACAACGGAGAGCAGCTCGACTCGCAAGGGAGGCCACGCCCACTCTGCCGCAACCTCGACGATGAATTCGTCCATGTCGACGGCCACGATGTCTACAAGACCCTAAGCGTCAACTTGGACGTGGCCGCTAATGAGCTCGCTCGGCTCGAGCAAACACCAGCGGTCGCCAAGGTCGCCACAATGCTTAAAGCTGCGCACTGCCAGGTCAACGAGATCCGCCAGGATCAAGGACCTTCCTACTCGACAAGCTTGAATCACTGATCCACCGCGCCAAGATCCAATCGTCGCCCCGGCAGAAGCTGTTTTGCCGATCAACATCGTGATGATGGACAACCCCTCTAGGGGGGAGCTAAGGGGAACCGCATCAACTACCCTCGCTAACTCGACCAAGAAGTCAACCAAGATGTCCGAGCGCACATCAACAATCTCTGGGATGCGCGATGTCATATCAACGGGCGCCGTTTCTCTCACCATGAAGAGGAAGTTCGCCGGCGTCAAGAATACGAGCAAGAGTTTGGTAATTTGGATACAGCCCTCTAGCCACTTAACGCCGGCAATGCTGCAGATCCCGACGGTGATGATCCTAAAGGGCCCCGAGCATTCACAAGAGCACTCCAAACACCCCAGTGGCCCCATGGTTTCAAAATCACCGAGGTCGAGCCTTACAAGGGTCGGATGAACCCCACACAGTGGTTACAAGCTTATGCCACCGCTGTACGCGCCGCCAGGAGAGATACCAGTGTCATGACAAACTATCTTTCCATCATGCTCAAGCCAACCACAATGAACTGGCTCACGAGCCTCGCCTTGGATTCCATCGGATCTTGGGAATAGTTGAAGAAGGTCTTCATCGACAATTACATGGCTACGTGTACTCGGCCAGACACCAAGCACGATCTGAATCGCATCTATCAGAAACCGTCCGAGCTCCTCCATAGCTACATCAAATGTTTTTCTGAGATGAGGAATTCTATTCCCAACATCATGAAAGCAGAAGTCATCACCGCCTTTGTTAGAGGACTTCATCACCACGACCTCCACTCCAAATTCAATTGTAAGCCACCAAAGGGGATTGGCGAGATGATCACGACCGCCGATCAGTACGCCGACACTGAAGACGCCGAAGTTTGCTTCAACGAGGATGAGGGCACTCACCGCCCAACTAGCCACAGCGATGAGCCCCCCGATGAATGACTCCACGATGACCGCCACTATGACGACCGCGGCCACCATCAGGACAGTGGCCGTGATCGGCCGGAAGGGTCTAAAGCCGGTCAGTATCGCCGTCGCCGACCAGACAACATCGTCGCCACCGTTGATGAACCTCGCGCCAAACATAACTATGACGAGCAGAACAAGAAAATCCTCGAAGGCCCGTGCCCCCTCCACAAGAACAACAAGCACAAGATGAAGGACTGCCTTGGCTTGGCTAAGGAGTTCCAGGCCAAAAAGAAGGATGACAACAACGACGACAGAGCCAGAGGTCGCCGACCACCTAGGGACAACAATAACGCCTTCGAGGATCACGACAAAGTGGTTGCCACTATCTTCGGGGGCCTTGCCGCAGCCGAGAGCAGAAGAGATCGAAAACTCACCGCACGCCAGGTGCTCGCCGTCGACACACAAGACGCTATTGCCAACCCCAGCTAACACCCCTGGTATGAGGTCCCCATCACCTTTAGCAGGGCCGACCAGTGGGTGAACATCCCTTACATAGGGTGTTTCCCCCTCGTTCTCGATGCAACCATCAAGAAAGTACTCTTTAGGAAGGTACTCATCGACACAGAAGTGCCCTAAACCTCCTCTTCGCCGGAGCCCTAAAGGAGCTGGGCCTTGGAGTAGAAGACCTTACTCCCTCTGACTCCTCGTTTTGGGGGGTGGTTCCTGGCAGGGCATCACGACCGCTTGGAGAGATCACCCTCCTAGTACAATTCGGCACGGCTACCAACTTCAGCGTCGAGCACATCAACTTCTATGTCACCGACTTCAACACCGCCTACCACACCATACTTGGCCGGCCAGCTCTAGCCAAGTTCATGGCCATACCACACTATGCCTATCTGGTGTTGAAAATGCCTTTGCCTGCAGGAGTTCTGGCCCTACGGGTCAACCTCTCCATCGCCTATGCCTACGAAACAGAGAGTCTCTCCCTCACCGAAGCCACTAACCACTCCATCTAGATGTCCAGCGTGGTCACCGACGCCAAGACGGTGCCTGCCGATGACTTGGAGATCCCAGCGCTGGAGCTTCCTCGTACTTCCGCCAAGTCTAAGGAAACGAAGGAGGTCGGCCTCGGCCTCGATGACCCCACCAAGACCGTTAAGATTAGGGCTCATATTGACCCCAAATAGGAAAGCACACTTGTCTCCTTCCTATGTGCCAACGCCGATGTGTTTGCTTGGAAACCTACAGACATGCCGGGGGTACACGGGAGAAGATTGAGCACTCCTTGAATGTCTCGCCGACTGCCAAGCCGATCAAGCAAAAACTCTGACGATTCACGCCAAACAAGGAGGTTATTAGGGTAGAAATAAAATGGCTCCTAGCAGTCGGATTTATTAAAGAAGTGTATCATCCTGAGTGGCTAGCAAACCCAGTTCTTGTTCAAAAAAAGAATAAAGAATGGAGAATGTGCGTTGATTACACTGATCTCAACAAACACTGCCCTAAAGACCCCTTCGGTCTGCTCGGCTAGACGAGGTTGTAGACTCCACCGCCGGCTATGAACTCCTCTCCTTCCTCGACTGTTACTCTAGCTATCACCAGATATCTCTCAAAGAGGACGACCAGATCAATACATCGTTCATCACGCCTTTTGGTGCGTATTGCTATACCACCATGTCTTTTGAACTCAAAAACGCTAGGGCGACCTACCAAAGGGCCATCCAGATGTGCCTTGACCAACAGATAGGCCGCAACATCAAAGCTTACATCGATGATGTGGTCGTCAAGTCCAAAACCACCGACAATCTTATCGCCGATCTCGAAGAAACGTTCACCAATCTGAAAAGATAGAGATGGAAGTTGAACCCTTCAAAGTGCATCTTTGGAGTTCCACCTGGCATACTCCTAGGCTACATCATCAGCCCCCGCGGTATCGAACCCAACCCCGACAAGGTCTCTGCCATTACCAATATGAAACGACCAACCTACGTAAAGGATATATAGAAGCTCATAGGGTGCATGGCTGCTCTCAGCCGCTTTATATCATGCCTCGGTGAAAAGGGACTACAATTCTTCAAACTACTCAAGGCCTCCGAGCGCTTCTCCTGGTTGGAGGAGGCTAATACGGCCTTCGAGCAGCTCAAGTTGTTT